TTTTTTCTAAATTAAAAATGTATAATTGGTAAACATCTAACTGGTCTGGTGAAAGCAAGGTACCTATCCATTTCTTTGGTAGAACCCAAACATCTGAGATTCTAGGTTGTTCCTTGTGGGTTTTCAGTTTCTTTATAAGACAACCTCTACCTGACTGTCAGTATTCTCAGAACCAAGGGATAAAAGAAATTTGGTGGAGACAGTGGGAGAAAGCAGTAAATCTCAACATTCAGCCTATACACTTAGTCCCTGTGATAGTATTAGAGTCTGTTTTCACCCTCTGCTATGCCTGGTGTATCCAAGTTTAGAGCTACTTTGATTTAGTTTTTTCCATTTCAACTTACTAGGTTGAGGAGGTAAAGGGGAATGTATCCCTCAAACTAGGCCCCTTTGTGTTAGAATTCCTATTTCTTACTTTTTTTTTTTTTTTTTAGTTGTAGATGGATACAACACCTTTATTTTGTTTATTTATTTTTATGTGGTGCTGAGGATTGGTCCCAGTGCCTCACACATGCAAGGTAAAAGCTCTACCGCTGAGCCTCAGCCCCCCTATTACTTACATTTACATTTCAGTTTCTCTGCTTTGTTTTCAGTTATCAACTCTTAGTTTTCCAGCTTCTAAAAATCTGTTGCTACCTCTTGTCTATTATTATATCTTCTACAAATTCTCTTGGTTTGGTTTTTATTTTCTCTACTGTTGTTTTAATGGGCTTTAGAAGGGAGTGGAAATAAACACATTTATTCAATGGGTTCAGCACTCTCTATATGCCAGGAAATATAAGGCTTAGGGGGACAATAGTAATACAGAAGTATAAAAAACAAAAACAATATTCCTTTTCTTAGAGAGTTTAACAGTCCAATTACAGGAGACAGATACACAAGTAAAGAAAAATAAACATACGTATTTGTTCCCATCTTGAACTTTCACAATCTGAGTAAAAAACCAAAGAAATTTGGAAACATTTTTGGATAAACTCCTTGCTTTCTTAACTTTTGCTATTTTCTGAAACTCAGGAACCAAGAGGTATTTCTCAATATCCTAATTCATTATCAAAATTAGGAATTTATTATTTATAGAGTTAGATAACCATGGACACTTGCATATAAAATTTGGTAGTGATAAGAGATTTAAATAAAGACAGGCACAAAAGGAGACATGAGGGTGGCAAGGTAGTCAGGGAAGACCTCTCTAATGATACTAACCATTCGGATGTCAGAAAACAAAAACACATTTCATACACAAGGAATAGAAATCAAATGGAAATATTCTAAGACAGGAATGTGCTTGGCATTTTGATTGAACAGCAAGGAAGCCAGTGTGGCTGGAGTGGACTATGTAAGAGGAAAAGTTATAGAGGATTAAATAAGAAAGGATACCAGTAGCCAGATCATATAGGACCTATGAACTATGATAAAGACTCATTCTGAATAAGGTGGGAAGCCATTTCTCTTGCCAGGCACAGTGCATGCCTATAATCCCAGTGATTTAGGAGGCAGGAGGATCAAAAGTTTATGACCAGCCTTGGTCAAAATAGTAAGACCCTTCTCAAAAAACAAAAATTTTAAAAAAGGGGCTTGGGATGTAGTTCAGTGGTATCAAACTAGTACCACAACAAAACAAAACAACAACAAGAAAAAATCATTCTAGCTGCTAATGTAGAACAGATTGTGGTCAGGAAGACACAGTAGAGATAACAAGATTAACTAGGAGACCACTATAAATAATCCAGGTGAGATTAGTATCTTGACATAGTTCTTTCTGATAGAAATGGTAAGAAGTATTCAGATTCTCATTTTTTTTTTCCAAAGTAAACTAGACACACTTTGCAGATGGATTAGATATGGGATGGTAGTGAAGAAAGAACAAAGACTGAAAAGTTTTTGGCTTGAGTAACTGGAAAACTGGAGCTATTGTTTTTAAGAGAAGCCTAGGAGAACAGTAGGTTTAAACAGGGAGGTGGGTGGGGTCATGTGGATGTTGAAGTTTTTTACATATTTGATTTTTGTCAATTTAAGTTTAAGACATCTATAGACATCTATACGGAGATGCAGAAGGGGGAAGTAGATGTATGCTTATGGACTTCAGTGGAGAATCTAGGCTAGAGACATACAATTGGGACTAGTCAAGTCAGCATATAGATAATATACAAAGGCAGGTAACTGTATGACATTACTTAGGGAATAAGGATAAAGAGAAAATTTGAGATTTGAGTACTAAACCTTGGATGACTTACAATTAGAGGTCAGACATTTGAGAAGCAGCCAAGTTATAAAGAAGAGTCAAGAAAGAATGAGGCTTTAGAAGTGAAGTAAAGAAGGTGTTCCAAGATGGAACCAAACATGAATAAGAATAGTGAAAATCACTGGTTATCATGGAATGACTGGGGCAAAGCCTACAAAAATTGTGGTATATATGTGTATTAAGAATTGTAATGCAAAAAAAAAAAAAAAAAAGAATAGTGTTACCTTAGATTAGGTAGAGGGAAGTGAAAGGAGGGGAAGGCAGGAGATGTGAGGATAAGAAAGACGTGAGGATAAGAAAGATAGTAGAATGAAACAGACTTTATTACTTTATGCATGTATGTGACTGTATGACCAATGTGATTCTACAATATGTATACTCAGAAAAATGAGAAATTATATCCCATCTATGTATGATATATCAAAGTATATAAGTGCATTCTACTGTCATATATAACTAATTAAAACAAATAAAGAATTTAAAAAAACCTTATATATATATATATATATAAATAAATAAAAGAAGAGAGTTCAAGGCAAAATGGAAGGAGAACTTAGAGAGAGTGAGCATATGTAAGTCTTCCAAAATGTTTCTTCAAAGGGAGGCAATAGCTAGAGGGAATTATGGGACCACATAGTTTTTTTTTTTCTTTTTAGATTGGAGATTATTTTATATATTGGTAGAAATAACTCAAAAGAGGAAAAATTGATACATGATTTCAGAGAAAAAAGGGATAATTTTAAAGGTAAAGTCCTTCAGTAGGGAAGAAAGGGAGGAAAAAGTTTACATGGTTTTTCTTATCCTCACTTCCCCCAATTACTTGGAAGGAAGAGTGATGATGGGATCTACATGACTTGAAGAGTAAATTTTTGGAAGAAAGAGTATATAAGATTCACCTGGAACTATAAGTTTATCTGAGGAAAGATTTTATCTCCACTAGTTTTTCTTTGGTGGATTGAACCCAGAGTCCAGTAAATGGTAGGTAAGTGGTCTACCGAAAAGCTACTTTCTTTTTATTTTATTTACACTTTTTATTTAATTTTGAGGCAGGCTCTTGTAAAGTTGCTCAGGTTGGCCTCAAACTTGTGATCTTCCTGCCTCAGCTTCTCAAGTAAGTGGTGTACCACCATGCCTCATTTCAATTTCTGGTTTTTAATTAGTCTCTACTGAAAAAGGTTTACGGCATATTTTCATTCTTGAGAAATTTCTTAATGACAATAAAATAATTTTAGGATCATAAATATCAATACAAACTTTTTTTAGTTTTATGATTCTTCCTTTATGTCATTTTTAAATGAAGTCATGTGAAATAAATGACCTAGTATCTATTTAAATGTTTTTTTGTGTTTTCTATATATTTATCTTTTCCCTTTCTTTATCTCTATTTCTAATGTTCTATCATTAGCAGAAACTTTTATCATTAAGAGTTTTTACAAATCATAGTAGACCTAATTTTAGAAAATAATATCCTAGACTTTTTATCAATCAATGAAAAAACTAGCTTTAAATTGACATTTTCATCAGTATCCAACTTTGAATATAATCTTGGAGAGAACAGTGCCTTTTAAGTCCCAGTACTTCCTTTATCCTGAATCTACATTGACTTCCAAGTCTTTGTGGGCTTCGAATAAAAATGAAGAATCAAAGCTAATATAATCAAATATTCTGAACACAAGCAGCCACAGTAATTGGACTCTACAATGTCCAATAAATAGCATCTCCATACACCTGAAAAACTCAGGAATGTACTAACAATGGGAAGAAATGGGGTGGTAGACAACTACAATTACATATTTTGGAAGATAACCCAAGATACTGAGTAGATACTAGAATTCTTGACTGCCTAAATCAATGACTTAAGAATGGAAAGTGGGGCTGAGGATGTGGCTCAAGCGGTAGCGCGCTCGCCTGGCATGAGTGCGGCCCAGGTTCGATCCTCAGCACCACATACAAACAAAGATGTTGTGTCCGCCGAAAACTAAAAAGTAAATATTAAAATTCTCTCTCTCTCTCTTAAAAAAAAAAAAAATAATGGAAAGTGGTCTTTTAGCACCAACAACAAAATTATGTACTATTTCCTTATTATTAGTTTTCAAGGCATTTATCTAATAGCTACTTCCATTTTCTAATCTGTCTCCTCATTTAGCATTATTTATTTATTGTTTCACAGTACTTTTCTCATGTCCAAAATATTCTTTTTTTTTTTTTTGGTGGTGCTGGGGATTTGAACCCAGGGCCTTGTGCATGTGAGGCAAGCACTCTACCAACTAAGCTATATCCCCAGCCCCTCATGTCCAAAATATTCTATATTTGGGTGAGAAGGAAATTACCAAGTTATAAGCATGAGGAAGGAAAGGGGCAAGGAGAGGCAAACATTAAATTATCACAATTTTAGCCTGAGAAACAGTAAAACCCATAAGGGGAACATTGTTTTAATAAGCAGTATCATCCATATATATCACTGACCATGTTCTAAGTCTTTGAAATTCTAGAGGTATATTTCTTAGAAAAGCCTAGAGAATTATTAACTTTCCAATTTCATTGTAACATAAACAAACCAAGTAGAAAAGACAAAGGGCCCTGGTTATCCCTAACTGTAAGAAATCCCAATTGTGGTCCTATTTTTAGCTTACTAGCATTAAGTGTTCAATATAAAAGAAAACACACTATTTGGTTTAAAATGGCATATAATGATAATTTAACTTACAGATCACATTATTATAATTTATTAGTATGTTATTTTGCCAAAACAACTCACCTGGTACAAAAAATTCTGTTGGCATAAACCAGTGAAATTCCAAATGAAATCCCAAGCGAATAGCTTTCAAGGTAACAAGAAAAATCAAATAGAGAACAGATACTGTGCCTGCAAGAAAAAAAAAATCCAGAAACTGTTTATCATTTTTATATGTGTATGTGTGTGTGTGTGTGTGTGTGTGTGTGTGTTTTGGGGGGAGGCGGTTTGAATCTAGGCGTGCTTTATTACTAAACTACTCCCCAGCCCTTTTTGTTTTTTGAGACAGGGCCTCACTAAGTTGCTGAGGCTGGCCTTGAACCTGTGATCTTCCTGCCTCAGCCTCCCTAACTGCTGGAATTACAGGTGTATGCCACTGTGTTCAACTATTCTCTTTGTGTGTTTTACAGACTTTTTAAAAATCAAACCTTGTTTCCTTATTCTCGCCAAAGTGTGAAAAATTGTTACCTTCATTGATTATCTCTACTAAAATCAAACTGGGACCTAAAGAATACAAATAAGTTATATGAGTTACCAGAAAATAAAATAAAAACTTTAAGTAGTAAGCCTAAGAATAACTGGATGAAGGTAGCTCACATATTGTTAAATGCAAGCTGCTTAATTTACTTATGAGCTGAGTTTGATGGAAGACACAAAGGGTCCATTACAAAACTGTAAGGTTACACAGGAGAAAAAAAAAAACAACATGAAACTATAACTTTTATTCTTTGCATTGATGCTAGTGACAGTCAACAGGCTGAAAAAGTCTGTCACAAAAATTAATGTGAAATGATAAGAAAGTAACAAATGTAGATCATAAACATTTGAGAAGGTAAAAAGTCAAATAATCCATAAACAATCGGATATAGTATTTACATGAGTGCTGAATGATTAGTACTGTTTGTACTTGAAAAAATTCCAGATTCCTTTCCCAGGTGTTATATACAAGGTGGAGTGGGCAGTCACAATGTTTTAGTAGAGCAGAAAAGTCAGAGGATTATTTCTTTTGAGGAAGTTAAGTCCAGTCATTATAGAGCACAGTCAGGAAGCCTAGGAATATCCTTAGATGCTAAATCCTCTAAAGAAGGTTTAGTTGTAAAAGAAAGGCAAAGTACCAAGGAAAAGAACAAAAGCTTTATATCCTTCAACCTGGTTAGAAGTCTGGTGATTGTTTTGCCGAAATGAGCAAATCCTTCCACAAGTTTCTATGCTTTCAAAAGATTTGTTCCACTGGAAAGTCAGCAAGCAAATCAGGAAACCACAAATGAGCCATATAAGCTCTACTGTGGGTTTTGAGATTAGCTGATTCAGAAAGGATGAAAACAAGAGGCCAAAGCTTATATAACCACAAATCTATTATTTTCTGTGTCGTGTGTGTAAAGTAGCTTATAGTGAATTTGGTTCTAAGGCAGAAAAGCAGAGAAATGTATCTTAACCTCCTCTTTTCATCTTCTGGAAACCCAGCTACATTTTGGGTTTCCACCATCAGATTCCTTGATGTGATGGATAATCTGATTATTTTATGCTATACTGCCTACCAGGGGATAAGATACACAGGGGGAGATAAAACCCTACAGTCTACTTGGGCCTATCAATTCTTTATGAATGACATCCTTGCATTTTCTCTAGTTAACCAGATTTGAGTTTACCCTGGGGATTGAAAATAGGGTTAAAACATTGCTTTAGTGAAAAAGAAATCACTGAAAGAGGTCTGTTACTTTAAGGAAACAATAGTATTCTAAGAAAGAAAATGCACTGAGGAAGAGAGCAAAAACAGAATAAACCTTAGAAGCTCGAGCTAGATAATGATATTCTAAGTTCAAATGATAATTCTATGCAATACTCTTAAATGGAAATGACAGGAAAAAAACATTCCATAACGTCCTGTAATAAGTTCTAATGTTTCCAACCCTTAAAGTTGAGGATTTCTATAATATCCATTTTGATCTCTCCTCCTGAAATTTTAGTCGATTTCCTCTAGTTGTACTCTCAGAAAAAATATAGAAGAGTTATCTAGTAAGGTTAGAATGGGAAACAAAATAACTTATATCTCAAAACACCAAAGAACAAAAAAGGACTTGAAATGATCATCTACATTTTTCTCTGTGCCAAAAAAAAAAAAAAATGTAGAGAACTATATGAACAAATTCAACATAGATGAACAGGCCTAGCAGATAACTTTCTCCCCAGAACCATATTTTCACAGAATCTACCATGTATTCTATTACACAGAATTTCCACAACACAGTATCATGTCTTACCTAGGATATTAAATTTTGAAAAAAACGAAGGAGATTTAAAATTGAGCAGTGGCAGGAGAAGCCCTATGAGGTAAAACGGCACTGTCTTGGACTTATTCCACCACTTTTCAAACTGTTGGACTTCTGTGTCATTGGCATGGAAAATCATAGAGCCATTGTCAGGATGGCCACCACTCCCAGCATTTGGACAAATCACTGCAACAGTAAAACACCACATTAGAGAAGACCATGAAAGTAGAAAATGTCCATCCCCACAGACTGATATTTGCTCAACTTTTACTAAACACTAAGCTTCTCCTTTATGACAAAAATGTAGAATTATATTTAGTCACATTAGGAATTTTTCACCTAAAAATGAATTAAAGATGAGGGAATCTTAGAAAATTTTGAGGTACACTCTTAATTTCTGTTGAAAACTATAAAATATCCCATCAAACATCCCTTGGTTCCAATGCGAGAGAGAAAATATTGGACTAAATGGCATTCAGTCCTATTTGTACAATAACACAAAAAATGTCATTCAGGGTAACTGTTGTACTATTAACTCATTAAAGGACAAAGGGTAGATTTCTTTTAATACAAATAGAATATACAGGTTTGGAATAAAAAGCAGACATTTCTAGAATAACTACCATGGTACTTCCCAAACCTAATCATTGGTGAAAACTTAACAGCCTTGAATTTTAGCAATCCAAAATAATTCTGGAAGTTTATCACCCTTGATAGAAGCCCAACAGCTGGCTGACATTACTAGAAAATTAGTAAAGTGCACATGTGTGTATTATGCGCATGCGCATGCATACACATACACACACACACACACACATATTGTTTGTTTGTTTGTTTTTGCTGGTACTGGGATAGAACCTAGAGATGCTCTATCACTGAGCTACATCCCCAGATCTTTTTAATTTTTATTTTGAGATAGCATCTCCCTAAATTGCCTAGGCTGGCCTCACACTTGCAAACCTCCTGCCTTAGCCTTCCTAGTCACTGGGATTACAGGCACATATAGCATTATGCCTAGCAAATGTATTTTTTCTTAATATTGATTTACAGGTGGCAATTTCTTCTATTATTAGATACTGTACAAATCATTCTTATTGTTTCTAATTTCACAAAAGAGCTTTTGATAGTAATCAGCATTCTTAATACTAGTGAAAAATTACTTATACTCAGCAACTGTCATATTCATCACTAGTCAAAGAGAAAGAACATTTATTTTATTATGAATTTTATTCTCTACCTATTTTTTGGTATGCCATAAAACCAAACATTTAATTTTTTCTCTTGTTCTTTCTTTTCTTAGCATCTTCTCTCTCTCTCTCTCTCTCTTTTTTTTTTTGGTGGTATTGGGGATTGAACCAGGGCCTTGTGCATAGGAGGCAAGCACTCTATCAACTGAGCCATATCCCCAGCTCCTTTTTCTTTCTTAGCATCTTAACATGTACCTTTTTCTTCTATGCTCTGGAAAAAAAAAATTGTCTTTGCTAACTGTAGTAGTAAAGAGCACAGGCTATGAAAGTAAATTGACTAAAACATCTGCTACTTAACAGATGTTTTTGGGCAAATTAACTTCTCTGTGTCTTGGATCCTACATTTACAAAGTGGAGCTAACAGTTTACCTTATAGTGTTGCTATGAAATGTTTAGAACAATGTCTTTGCCAAGTAAATATTCAATAAATATGAGCTACAATTATTTTGCACTAACTAAGATGGGTTGTTTCATACTTACCATACTGTTTCAAAATAAATATTAAAAGATAAATCAAGACATGCTGATATTAACACAGGTTATCACTATGCAAAGTAAACTGACTTTGCTGATGATATTTTACAAATTATCAACATAATTGTAATATTTATGACCTCATGGATGAAATTACTCCCTGCTGCAGAAGAAATTCTATGAGATAATTAATAAGCTACTTCCATCAATGGTATCAGAATAGCTATACAGCAAAATCATTTTCTCCTTTAAGACAAGATTCTTTGAAAATTCTGGAGTAATGAACAAGGTACAAGAGATTTTAATAGAGCAATTCAAAGGAATTATTTTATTCTCAGGAATAAAAGCTGGTTATTCACTCATTTTCAATAGTTGACAATTGACAGGTTAATCAGGCTTAATTAAGGGGTAAAGTAAGACACTGAACAGCAAGCATTGGAATGTATGCTTCATGAGAAGTTTGACTACTGTCTGTTCATTATTATAAACCCAGTGCTTATAACAGCTCCTGACACATACTGGGCTTAATAAATATTAGTGATCAATGTGTACCTCCATAAAAATAGCATCAATTTTTCATTCCTGAAACCTAACTCACAAAGCTTTAGGTAATGTTCAAGGTTAACAACAAAACTGTCAATAAGGTTACAACCGTGTTTACATTCATTTTCCCTATGATTTCCATACTGGTTTAAGCCCACTGGCCACAATGGGTTTATTTTAGTTTTTAAAAATTTTTATGTTTTTGTGGTGCTGAAGATTCACCCCAGGATCTTTCACATGTGCTCTACTGTTGGGCTACACTGCCAGCCCCAAGAATTTATTTTTAGTAAATAAATTAAAGGAAAATTTTATTAGTCTCTTTTCAGTATCAGGAAATTATTTTATTAATTACAAATCTGTGTAGCCTATAGATTAGTAACTAAAATATTACACACCTAAAATTAAGTTAACAAACTGAAAACTATGCTTCTAGACACCTAACCCAAGAAGTGATGTAGGTTCTTGAAAATTTTTGATTATTCAGGTAATACAGACACTCTGAGCTTAACTATGTGTTGTATAATACAGGTTGCATATCCCTTATCTGAAATGCTTGGGACCAAAAGTGGTTCAGATTTTGGATTATTTGCATTGATTTTACCAGCTGCACATCTCTAATTTTTGCTTTGTTTTGGATGATGCTGGGGATAGAACTCAGCACAACAAGCATGTAGGCAAGCACTCTAGCATTGAGCTACATTCCCAGCCCCCCAATCTAATTTTGGAACATTTTAAATTTCAGGTTTTTGAATCAGGGATATATAATATGTATGAACTAAATATTTTCCAGCTCACATTAACACAACCTATTGACTAGTTCACATCAATATAAACTTTTTTTGGAGTTTTTAAAAAAATGTATCAGTTATCAATAATTTAGTAGCAGCTCTGTTAACATAATAATAATAACAATATTGCACTTTTCATTTACCTAAAATAAATTCATAGGTTTTAGCTTAAATTCTTTTTGGACAAAGTGAGGAATAAAGAACCGAATTAAATTCCAAACTACTTACCAGGGTTGCTATTATTGGTTCTCAGTGTAGTGTCTGTGTCATTAATGTGATGAATAAAATCTAAAATTTAAAGACAAAAATGTAGCTTAATACTGAATGAAAGATGCTGAATCTATTACCCTCTAAAGTTTTTTATTTACAAAAATATTAAAATTATCTATCATGTGTAATATAGTATCTAGAACACTAAACCAAAACAAGTTTATTATTTTTTTTTTCTTAAATTTTTTTTAGTTATACATGGGCACAATATCTTTATTTTTGTTTATTTATTTTTATGTGGTGCTGAGGATTGAACCCAAGGTCTCACACCTGAGAGGCGAGTGCTCTACTGCTGAGCCACAACTCCAGCCCCACAACTTTATTATTAACAGTTTCACCTTCTATAGCTTTCGTCACTTACAGGAATCATAATATTGGATTCAGAGTCCCACTTTGAAAATTTTTATATAATTTAATATTTTTAAAAAAATCTACCTACAAGGCTAAATTAATAGTAGTAAAAGCCCTGGAATGTAAATAATGTGTACAATTTATTTTTCTATATTCATGTTAATTACAGTTACATTTTACATAAAGTTCTAAAATATGCAAAAAGGGAAAACAACAATCATGTAGCTAAACTTACTGGGAAAAATCACTTAAGCTCTTTGTAAAGTACAATACGTGTTTTTATGGATCCAGGGCTGTAGAGTAATTATTATACTCCCAAGAACCATTGAGTTAGATTAAAGGAAGTATCAAAGAAAAAAGCATATACAGCCATGGTATATTAATATGAAGTCATACTAATTTAGGGTAAGCTCTAAAGGCAATGATTGGTGTCCATAAAGAAAGAGTGAAATTTAGGTGCACACAAACACACACATCTACACACATATATGTATGTATATGTTTGTATGTATTTATATGTGTGTATGTATACAAATATAAATGTATGCACATACATACAAACCATTTAAAATAATGAGTAGATAGGATGGAACTTTCTTTATGAATGATGTGACTATCTAAATAGAATATCAAAAAGTACATGCAGGGCCCTGGGTTCGATCCTGAGCACCATATAAAAAAAATAAATAAATAAAAACAAAGGTTAAAAAAAAAGTACATGTACAAAATTATTAGAATTAACAAGAGTTCAGCAAGTTTGCTAGATTCAAACATACAGAAATTGGTTTATAATCAACAAACAATTTGAATATGTGATTAAGAGATATCATTATTTCTGGAGAGATAAAAATAGAATTCTGTTTCTTGAAGGAGGTGTGGGTTATATGAATGTATCCATTTAACCATTAATCCATTGAATATTGTAAGTCAAATATTCAAGTATTTCAATGAATAAATTCTTTCTAAAAAAGAGAACTATATATATAAAATAATAGTTGAACTGGTGTGGCAAATGTGTATAATGTGGATCATGCTTTCTTAATGGATGTGGTATTGCTCCCAATGGGAGGAAAAAAACCTTATTATTTTTATATATCAAGTACAGATATACATACAATTCATGAACAGATTTATAGTATATCTGAGATATACTATATAAGCTATAGAGGAGAGGAATATGTAGGATCCTTATACTGTTGTTTCCTTTGTATGTTTGAAATTTTCTATAACAAAAAGTGCACATGTTGTATATTAAATCAAAACCACATTTACAAAAAAAATTTAAGGTACTAAGGAAAAAGTCTTTAAAAAAGATATGCAAGAGCTTTATCAAGAAAAATTTAGAAGATATTTAAAAAGCTTATATAAACAGAGAACTATGCCATGCCACGATCATGGATAGAAAAACTAAGTATCCTAATTATGTAAATTTTCTCCACACCTATAAATCTAGTGTAATTCTAATCAAATTCTAAACTCAGTACCTTAATGGCATCAATAGTGCATACTGACTAAAAAGTTTAATGCAATTTCAATCAAATTCTAATTGGATTTCTCTGGACCTTGACAAGTTGATTTTAAAATGTTAGGTCCATAGACCCTAGTGGAAAAAATTATGGATTTGAAATTAAAAGTAAAGCCAAGCCACCAACTAGAAGATATTTGCAACGCGATGGATAAAAATATTCCATAAAAAAGAAAAAGACCAATAATCCAATAGGAAAATGGGAGAACATGACTAAGTTACTTAACTGTTTATATAATTAAGAAAAGATGCCTAGTGTTACCCCTTATGAACAGATCTTGAGTGACAAAATCTGTCATAATACCTGTGAGGAGAACACAGAAGGAGGGACTTTCATAATTGCTGGTACCAGTGTAATTGATAAAACCAGGATAAAGAATAATTTGGCAATTTCTAACAAGGTGAAAAAGTGAATATTCCAATTTCTAGAAGTCTGTCTTAGAGTTACAAAGCCAGGAGAAACTCCCACATGTAAGAAGGAAACAGAAATAGAGATGTTTAATAAAGTGTTGCTTGTACTAGCAAAATAAATTAAATGTTCATCAAGACAATGGATAAGAAAGTTGGGGTATATTCAAATTATTAAATATGATAAATCAGTTACAATGAACTGTGTATTAATAAATATGACAAAAAGCAAGTTGCAAAATAACTTGAATAGATTAAAAACATGAAAGACAACACTACATGTTGTTCATATAGTTATGCAGTAAAAACACAAAAACATGCATGAGTGAAAAACACCAAATTTAGGGAAGAAGGAAAATGGGACTGTGAAGGGGAATACACATGTGGCTTCAATTATATCTGTAATATTTGATTTTTTCATAAGAATAGAGAACTAATACAAATATGGCAAATGTTAAAACACTAAAGCTTGTTAGTGGGTACAATGGTATTTATATTAACTTCTGCATTTTTTTGTAGATTGAAATGTTTCACAATTTTTCAACAATAAAAATGTTTGGCAATAAAACATCTAATTAAAAATGCTAATTTTATTGTTTAAAATAAAAATAGAATTCCTGACCCCTCACTTAAATACTGTAGAGAGACTAGCTTTCATGTAAATCCATATTTTAAATATATAGTTTACTTAAAGGCAGCTAAACATACTAAGTTTTAGGTCTATCAATTATTAGGCAAAAATAATTTGGAATCTTATTCAATATAAGATGAACTTCCTCTATCCAACTTAAAAAACATTATAAAGAGTATGTGGTCTGAATTTCTAAGACTCTTTTCAGAATTCAAGTAGCTTACTTGGGCAGATTACAATTTTGTAGTATATAAATAATATATTTATCAGATAAATTCTAATATTTTTAAAATAAGTAACTGAAATTTGTTTCTCCTAATCTACAAATCAAATTCTTTATTTTATTTATTCATTTTTTTTTTTATGTGGCGCTGAGGATGGAACCCAGGGCCTCGCACATGTTAGGCGAGCGTTCTACCCCAGAGCCACAACCCCAGCACATCAAATTCTTTAGCAACAAACACTAATGATTTTCACAAAATTTTCTGCTACAATACTAAAATTTTTAACAATGCTTAAAATAGTCACTGGGTTATGACAATATTTTATATTAATTAGATACTTTGAAGGAACATTGTTTACTCAAAAATTAATGTTTGGAAATGAATATACACATTATATTTGAGATCATAACCATGGAAAACAAACTGAATCATAAATTTTCCAGAATTACATACTTACAGTACTTCTTATTTTGTAATATCCCAAGTCCTAGAGTTTAAGGCGGGAACTACAAGAGTAATTGTATTTGAAAGTAATTGTGTTAAAGTATATGATATCAATACTTACTAAAAATAAATTTTCCAGTATTAAAAAGAAAATTAGACATAAGCACCCAATAAACTATCATTGCTCCAATGAGAGACACCAAGGAGAAAAGGAGACTTGACCACTGCCCAAAGGAACCAAAATAATATCTGCAGACATCTGGATATTCCCAGGTAGTGGTATCCAATGAAGCTAGAGAAAATTAAAAAAAAAAAAAAAAAAGAATAAAAACAGATGGAGATCACATATTCTATATTAATAATTTGTGTTTCCCAAATTAACTCAAAACATTTAGAAAGATTACTGATATTTTACCACCAGAAATAATAGCAATTAAAACACAGTAGAAGCTGGGCAGTAGAGCACACTTATTATCCCAGCAACTCAGGAGGCTAGGATAGAAGGATAACCAAGTTTGAGACCAGTTCAGGCAACTTAGTGAGACCTTGTCTTAAAATAATAACATGGTCTATTTTTCTTACTTGTTAAGATCTTGTTCTTTGCTCTTAGATATAATTTTATATTTTTCTTCCAGCAGATGTGTTGCTAAATTCATTTCTAAGCTTACTATTGTGAATGAAATACGTTTCCTGCTTTGTAGTTCTAGTTGATTCTTGACCTTATAAGCAGCTTACTTTCATGTTAATAGTGTTAATAACTTAGCATTTTTAATAAAAATCTTTTTGCTCATGATATGATTCTAAGTCTCTTCCACTTTTTTTGTTTGTTTGTTTCATTTTGATTTTTTGCGATACTGGAGGTCTAACCTAGGGCTTTGTATATGCCAGGTAAACGCACTACCAGGCTATATCCACCAACCCATTCCTTTCTAGTTTTTTGATTATTTTTATTTTTTGCTGCATTTGATGACTCAAAAGAAACCCTGAACAATTATGAGCATTATTATGTTCTAATGGAAACATTAAAATGGAGCATTGCTACTTTAAAGGGAATAACTTTAGCATTTTATTGATGCTTGTACAAGTTTGGGAATAAACAGACATTAACATTGCTTTTTGCTTGTTTGGTTTGTCTGGGTACTAATGCTTGAATCCAGGTGTGCTTTACCACTGAGCTACATCTTTAACTCTTTCTTTCTTTTCTTTCCTTTCTTCCTTCCTTTCTCTCTCTCTCTCTTTCCATTCTTTTAATTGTTGATGGACCTTTATTTTATTTATTTATATGTGCTGCTGAGAATCAAACCCAGTGCCTCACACATGCTAGGCAAGTGCTCTACCACTGAGGTACAACCCCAGTCTCTCCAACCCTTTCTTAAAATTATTTTTTATTTTGAGACAGAGTCTTACTAAGTTTCTTAGGGTCTCACTAAGTTGCTGAGGCTGGCCTTAAACTTGAGAACTGCCTCAACCCCTTCCTTGAGTTGCTGGGATTACAGGTCTGTGCCACCAGATCCAGCACTAGGCCTTAACAAATTTAAACTGTGCCTTTTACTTAAGAATTTTAAACAGGAACAGCTACTTAACTCTGTTAGTGCCTGTTTTGGATTCTGTTGATAATTGCAGATATTTCTTTCAATTAATGTAGTGAATTACATTGGATTTCTTAATAATGAAACATACACGCTTTATGAGAATATACCTTACTTTAAACATAGGATATTATCCTTTTGAAATGCTGCTTTTTCTATCTGACAATGCTTTCTTAAGAAGTTTAGCCAGATGCAGTGGTGCATGCCTGTAATCCCAGCAGCTAAGGAGGCTGAGGCAGGAGGATCTCAAGTTCAAAGCCAGCTTCAGCAATAGCGAGGTGCTAAGCAATTCAGTGAGACCCTGTCTCTAAATAAATACAAAATAGAGCTGGTGATATGGCTCAGTGATTGAATGCCCCTGAGTTCAATCCCTGGTAGACCCCTGCTCAAAAAAAAAAAAAAGAAGTTTACAGCCAATGCTGTAATCCCAGCCACTTGGGTTGTGAATTAAGGGCCAGCTTTGGCAATTTAGTGAGGGCCTGGGTTCAATCCCCAGTACCAAAACCAAGTTTACAACCATATCTTTTTCTTTTTTTAACCCCAGGGATTAAACCCAGGGGTGCTTTACCACTGAGCCACATCCCCAACCTTTTTTTTTTTTTTTTTTTTTTTTTAATTTAGAGACAGGGTCTCACTGAGTTTCTTAGGGCATCACTAAGTTGCTGAGGCTGGCTTTGAACTCCCAATCCTCCTGCTTCAGCCTTCTAAATCGCTGGGATTACAAGCTTGCACCACCATGCCCGGCTATTTTTCTTTCCTTTTTGGTACTGTCAGGTTTTATATTAGGTTGTGTTGACTTTGTAAAATGGACTGATACAAGTTTATCCTTTTAAATTTTGTGAAATAGTTTAAGTACCATGGGTGTTTCTTTTTTTTTTTTTTTTTTTTTTGTTTTGGTGGTGGCTAGGGATTAAACCCAGGGCCTTGTGCATGTGAGGCGAGCACTCTACCAAATGAGCTATATTCCCAGCCCTGTTTCCTGTTTTTTAGTAGCTACAGAAAGATCTCAGAGAAGCTATGTTCTCATTTTTAAAAAGACCCTGGATTAAGATATGCAGTCACTACATATGTTTAAAGAGGTTTTCCAAGTTTAGTCAAAACTGAAAAAGAGCAAAACTAAGGCTAAACTTTCTCATTTAGGAACTAGAATGAATCTTCTCTTAAAACTTTAAAATAATACTCCCCAAGTGGCTAAGAGGATATTTGGTACCTAAATAAAGAAGCTGCTTAAAGCCAGGCAAGATAGTGCATGCTTGTAATCCCAGAGACTCTGGAGGCTGACACAGGAAGTCCACAAGTTCGAGGCCAGCCTCAGCGACTCAGCAAGACACTGTCTCAAAATAAATAAATAAACAGGACTAGGACTGGGGATATAGCTCAGTGATAAAGTATGCCTAGATTCAATTCCTGGTACCAGAGAGAGAGAGAGAGAGAAGAGAAGAAAAGAAAGAAAGCTGCTTAGTAGAGAGAGGGAAAAAACAAGAGGTACAATCTGGTCAATTGGTTTATATATACTAAGAGCAAGTGAAATAAGTCCTAACTTACTTTAAAATGACCTAAAAAGATATTTCCCTCATCCAATAGGCAGGTGTGATACAGTCCCAGCTATTGGGAAGGCTAAGGTGGAGGATCACTTGAGTTTACAAATTTGAGACCAGCCTGGGTTGAAGACAGCCTGAACAACATCATGAGACTCCATTAAGAAAAAAAAAAAATAGATCTTCCCTAATCCAGAATTTTTATAGATGAGTAGAGGCAATGTGTTCACAAAACTTTAAGAATTGTTGAAAGCTGTGAATTAGGGGAGTAAATCTTTAAGTACAAAATTGAAAGACGTGGAATATACACATTTGGATCTGCCTCAATGGCAAGTGACTTACTAATACTCAAATCAATAATCTATTTTCACTGTGTCAAACTCTTACATATCATGGTTCGTGATTTCACCACTCTGTAGCAGCAATAAAGTGTTAAAAGGCCCATCAGTATGATGACGCACATTCCAGTGGTAAATCCAGCCTGTTTAAAATAAAAATGTAGAACGACATGTCATCATGTAAGAATAAATTCATATATAATCATACTAAGTGACCCTAAAAAATCATAAAACCTGATAATCAAAAACTATGTATATCATCTATTTAATGAAACTTATGTCAATTTCTTATAAAACAATAGAGAAAACATTTTCAGACATAAAGTGTGCTAAAAAATTATATTACCTGTTTTATGCCCCAAGGAATACTTAGTATAGATGTTCCCATCATGGTATTCCAAATCATAAAACTGAAAACACAGAATAATAGCCATAAAAATATGGAGTTAAACTCCTGAAATATTTTCATTAAGGAAAAAATTAAAATAATCTGTAATTTGTATTTGTATACCATTCAAGTCATGCTCCAAAAATTAATTTTTACTCACATGGTTACTAAACTGGTGTTTTTACCATATCCTTCAGTGCAGCTTTGAAGTTTATATGCAGAACCCAATGGACTATAAACATAGCATTCCTCAGGAGCTGGAACTACATGGTCTGGAGCAATCTGGTGAAAAAGAAACAGAAATGTCAGAAAAAGTAAATGTGTTAAACAGGATACACTCTATACATCAGAGTACATGATGGTACACATGTTTCTAGATACCATGAACAAAGAAAACAGTATGCATCCCTGATTAGTGAATTAAAAAATTATTTTTCAAATGTAGTAGTAGATCTAAAGAAACGAAAATTTATGCAACTGTCAAAATATTTTTCTCTTCACCTTTGTGAGAAAGGAGGAAAAAGAACCAGCAAAGAATAAGATTAAGGAAATTTAAATACAGAAGACTGGCCTTAAATGAGGAGAATTTCAAGAACCAAATGATTACTGAATTCTGATGAGAGGATATTTTCAGCAAAGAGACAAGCAGGGAATCTCAGAATATAAGGAATCGAGGAGTCAACAGATGGTAAAGAAATAAATAGTAAATACAGACTGTTAAAAAATATTTTGTTGCCTGGGATTGTAGCTCAGTGGTAGAGCGCTTGCCTAGCATGTGTGAGGCACTCGATTCAATTCTCAGCACTGCATATAAATAAACAAACCAACAAACCAACCAACAAATAAATAAAAATAAAAGTCCATGAACAACTAAAAACAATATTAAAAACAAAAACGAAAATGCTTTATAACAGAGGAAAAAGGTAACCTAAAGGGGCTTAAGGAAAAGGCAAAACAAAGATTTTTTTTTTTTTTTGGTACTGAGGATTGAACCCAGGGGTGCTAAATGCCTCACTAAATTGCTGAGGCTGGCTTTGAACTTGCAATCCTCATGCCTCAGCCTCCAGAGCTGCTGGGATTATAGGTGTGCAGCACCATGCCCAGTGCAAAACAAAAATTTTAAAGGAAGAGTTTTAAGTATGTAAGCAAAAGGGAAGAAGCCAATAGAGGTTGAAGATATAACAGAGATGTTTCTTATACACATAGCTCCCAAGTTATCCTCTTCATTTCTTCCTAATTCTACCTTCCTATTTTAGAGGGAAAATAATACTGTTTCCTGATGCAATTCTGCCCATCTCCATAAGAATAGTTCTTTAAGAATAGGCAGTCAAAGCTGGGTGCAGTGGGGCATGCCTGCAATCCCAGTGACTCAGTAGCTGAGGCAGGAGAATCTCAAGTTCAAAGCCAGACTCAGACCCTGTCTCAAAGAATAAAAAAAAAAAAAAAAACCAAGAAAAGGGCTGGGGATGTAGCTCAGTGGTTAAACATCCCTGGTACAAAAATAAATGAATAAATAAATAAAAATAAAGCAGTCCTAAAAGGCATAGAACCTGATGCACAAACCAACAATTTTTATATTTAGCAATTTTTATTTACAAATAAAAATTTACAACTCTGTGCTAGGTTTAGCATTTAAGAAAAAAAATTAAAAAAAAAACATATATATATATTTGTATATATATATATGGCTTCAAACTTTAAATTCCAGTTGGAGGACAGGAAGCTAGAAGATAATAAAAATTGACTCTATGGTATACTGTACCATAGGAATAACAAATAACATCAATAATGGGGACTAGAATAGTTGGAGAAGAATTCATGGAATAGATGGAGTATCAGGACTCAATAGGAATAGAGGATATGGATTGTGGATTGGTACAAAAAATGAAGAAGTGGTATCCATTTTCTTTTCGTGGCTCTGGGGATTGAACCCAGTTCCTTGTGCATGCTAGGCAAGTACTCTACCACTGAGCTACATTCACAGCCCTTTTGAATTTTATTTTGAGACAGGGTTTTGCTAAGTTGCCTAGGTTGGCCTGAAATTTGTAATTCACCTGCCTCTGCCTCCTGAGTAGCTGGGATTACAGGTGTGTGCCAGCCACCAAGCCCAGCACATTCTTCTCTTTATGTGCATTTGGGTGGTGGTGTCTTGAAGGCAAAGAATATCTTCAGTTTTCTGCATGGTGTAGCTTTGAAAACAACTATTTCCCAGAGATACAAAGACATATGGAAAGGGTCTTTAGCCTTCTCTTTACCCATAGTCCTCTTGGGTCTGAATTCTGTTGTCCTCTGCCATGAGTAAAAATTTAAAAGGACGGGCTGTGTCCATGAGAGGCAGGAGAAAAACCACCATGGCTAGCAAAGCAAATTGAGAAAATGTGAAAATAAAAAGTTATAAGGGGCAGGATTAGTAAGAAGTGGCAATTTCTGGCTGTGTTCTTACACTGACTATATAAAGAAACAACCTCCAGGTCCTGTGCCTGGTCTGCACTGCGTGAATAGAGAGACATAAAGCATGCCGGAGGGACAAAAAAATTGAAGGGTAGATCCCACTCTGGCAGTGGTCTAGGGTGGTGCTTGTCAGACTGAATTTACTATAAATCACACAGAGATCTTCTTAATATGTAGATTTGCTTCAGTAGTCTGAAGTGAGGTCTGAAATTCTCCATTTTTTTTACGCCCTCGGTAACACTATAATACCGATCTGTGCAGGCTATACTTTTATTAGCCAGGATCTAGGAGATGTTGGAAGACAATGATTTTCTTCCCTTTCCTATTATAGAATAAAATTATCAAGGTAAATGGGAAATTTTTCATAAACAAAAAGGTTTAACTCTAAAACTGAGACCAGTGATTTTATATTGTTATTCCCTGAAAAAAAGAAAAACAAAAATATATTTAGGAAAAGTAATTTGGGGATTCTTTTTTGTTGTTGTTGTTGAACTCCTCGCCTTTGCTGAAGCTGGCTTTGAAGTCAAGATTCTCCTGCCTCAATCTCCTGAGCTGCTGGGATTACAGGCATGTGCCAGTGTGCCCTGCCAATTTTGGGATTCTTCTGAAGGTGAATGTGAATATTCAAACACATTCATTAAAAATCTTTATATCAGGGGCTGGGGTTGTGGCTCAGCAGTAGAGCACTGGCCTTGCATGTGCAAAGCCCTGGGTTCAATCCTCAGCATCACATAAAAATAAACAAAATAAAGGTATTGTGTCCAACTACAACTAAAAATATTTAGAAAAAGTTTATATCATATTGTTAATTGTAGAACTGTAGATTACTATTTATATACTTTGATTCACTAGAGTCATCTCAGTGTCAGTTAACAAAAGGGATTCAACTTGGTGCACAATACAGTCTTAATTTCCAAGCAAATAATGTATGCTCAGGCCTAGACTCCTGGCTAATATCTCTGAAATTTGTTTCCCAGAGTACAGCTCTCAGAAGGTGTGAATTAGAGCATTAGATAGAGGATTACTTGTACTTTTCAAAGGGCTTAGATAATTCTATAATGGAACTAAGACTTTATCATCACTATGGATATAAAGTCCTAGAGGGGTTTAGGGGAAGCCCCCAAAATTGAAAAAAAAAAAAAATCATCCTACCTATTACATTTGGAAGTCTTTACTTTGGCCATAAAAAAGGAGAATTAATACTTACCTCACATAGCTATTGCAAAGATTAAATGAAATAGATATATTCAAGTGATGTCAAATCTCATATGGTGGTTCCTTTTTCCCTCTTATTACTAATATCTATTTTAAAAATCATATTTTTCTCCTAGAAGATTCCCACTTTTTTCAGTTTTCAAGATTCTGAATATCTTGTATGTGACCATTTTGATAAGAAACCAAATTACATATTTTTCATTCCACAATGATAAAACAAACAAACAAAAAAAAAGATCAAGGGTCCACAAACTGTGGCAAATCTAGCTTTCACTTGATTACTTATACGCCCCTTTCCTAAGAATGTTTCTTATTGTTTTTAATGGCTGTAAGACAAAACAAAGAAACTGCAATGGTATGTAGTCTACAAAGCCTAAAATTCTGTAGTATCTGGCCATTTGATTCCTGTTTTTGATCCAAAAAAGGATAATGGGAAATAGGAAAATGCTAAATAGGAAAATATTACATATATGAATAAACATATTTCAGTTTCTTACTCTAAAAAATTTCTAAATTTCCTTTGTAGTTTCCAAGTTAAAAATTGAACAGACTAACTAGAATTTTATGTTTTAAATCAATGATCTAAGCTGCCACTTCAGAAGTAATTTATCTTCCTCAGAGATCTTGGGAATGAGGATAAGCAGAATTTAATAAAAAAAAAAAAAAAAAAAAAAAACCCAGGCTGTTGTTAATACAGAGAGAGTTTCAAATCTCTCTATGCCAGGTTAGATAAGAATAAACTAGACGGAGATGTAGATCATGTATTAATTACTATCTTTGACTTCACATAATGCTGTCCTTGGAACACAGCCAGCAAAAAGTTCAACGACTGGGAGTTGCCCTGGTTTATGTTGTTCACTGTTCATTTCAGTTTAACTTCAGGCGATTAGTAATGCTTTGCCTCTTACCAGGGCCTTGTCTGCAGGAGTGGTGAGCCGGCTGTAGTAATGAATCCTCTTGTTCATAGCAGAGGCATGGTCACTAACCCTCTGAATGACATCATTCACGCTGACGATGTTTGTGGGCTCTATATAGAAAGGCCTAAAGAAGGGAATATATACTTGACAAAAAACGTTCAGGCAGAAATTCTGGAAGTCAGCCATTGAAGAAAATAACTTCTTGTCCTCCATTAGAAATGGGATGCACAAAGGCAAGGCAGTCACTTCTCACTTTTGGTGGGAAAAGAAAATGTCACAGAAGAAGTATTATCCTAGCCACAGAATTAAGTTTTTGTCTCATAATACTTTTACTTTAAACATACTTTTTAATCGTAAGGGATTTTCCAACAGATGAGGCATAACAGGAAGACCTTATTATTAAAGAGAAATTTTGAAACGTTATCAAAAAGAAATTTAGCAAAGAAAAAAAAAAGAATTATAGCAGTTGTCAGTTTCAACGATGAAACTTAGAAACAAACAGCTTTAACTAGTTTCTCAAAAAAGCTTCTGGCACTCAATCAGAGAAATTACAGATAAAAATATCCCTCTACTGAAGAGTCCCTACTCTTTCCTTATAAGACAAGGTTACCTCTTAAACAAAATTCCTATTTCTCAATTCGTGTATTAAGGACTAATGATCTCAACCATTTTCCTTGTGAGACTCACCCAAAGAAGTATCAAATGGAACATCAGGACACTAAAGACATTTTGCCTTATTCTACTCTTATTGAATTTTGGTCATAATACTCTATTATCCTATTATTTATGTATATATTTCCTTCTCATGACTGTGTCCTAATCAACTGCAGATTTTGGTTTTCAGTCATTAACCCCTTTAGTTTCTTTCCAAAATCCTCTCCATTTCTTCCTTTCCCCCTTTTCTTTCTCTTTTTTCTTTCTTTCCTTTCCCCCTTCCTTCCTTCCTTCTCCTCCCCCTCCCCTCCCCTCCTCTCCTTCCCCTGCCATCTCTCTCTCTCCTCTATCTCCTCTTTTTGCAGTACTACTGTATCACTGAGCTATATCTTCAGCTCTTTTTATTTTGAGAAAGGGTCTTGCCAAGTTGCCCAGCTAGCCTGGAACTTGTGATCTTCCTGCCTCAGCCTCCAGAGTAGCTGGGATTACAAAAATGTGCCACCATACCTGACTCTCAATTACTTTCTAAACCTCCAGTAACATACTGCCCAAATGGAACGACCAGAGTTGCACAAAAGGACTGCATTTCTCTGCTAATTGTCAGACCCCTAGAAGTCACAAATAACACTGTATCCCAAACTGTAAATAATTTACTATATTACATTATATACAGATAAAAATAATAAGAAGGAAAAAAAGCCAGGAGATCTATCATTGGTTTCATATAACTCTACACATATAGTTCTAAAAAAAGCTTAAAATATATTGATGCAGTGGTGCATGTCTGTAATCCCAGGGGGCTGAGACTGGAAGATCTCGAGTTCAAAGCCAGTCTCAGCAAAGGTGAGGTACTAGGCAACTCAGTGAGACCCTGTCTGTAAATAAAATCCAAAATAGGGCTGGGGATGTGTCTCCATGGTTAAGTGCCCCTAAGTCCAATTCCCGGTACAAAAATTAGAAAAAATATGTATAATCATTTCTGGAGATATTAGCATAAAGAATCTTGAAATCTTTTATTATTTACTCTCCACCACAGCATCTAAATATTATGGGTACTATCTAGGTCAATTCAACAAATATGTACGTAGAGTACTTGATAGAGCAAATATGTGGGTATGGAGATTTTATATATATATATATATATGTGTGTGTGTGTGTGTGTGTGTACACACACACACCAAGTATATTACTGCTGAGTGCATTAAGTGGAATCAATAAATTTTAAGGGAATATAATGAAAAGATATGGTTCAGAAATGGTTCACAGGCTGAATAAACAATCCCTACTTATACATTTGGTAGCCTAACATAACTACCAATCTTCCCTAAGCATTATGATGTGCTATAGAATTTATCTCTCTACTATGACATTCAGTAGTACTAAAAAGCAATATTAAATATTGCTATCTGGCCAAGCACAGTGGTACACGTCTGTAATCCCAGCGGCTCAAGAGGCTGAGAGAGGAGAATCACGAGTTCAAAGCCAGCCTCAGCAATGGTGAGGTGCTAAGGAATTCAGTGACACCCTGTCTCTAAATAAAATACAAAACAGGGCTGGGGATATGGCTCAGTGGTTGAGTGCCCCTGAGTTCAATCTCTGGTACCCCTCCCCACCAAAAAAATGCTATCTGGAAAAGGGTTTTATCATACCTGGCGTGACAATCTGTGGGATGAGACATTCTCTTCATATTTGCAAGAACAGTGCCCCAAGAATGCTAATATTCAGAGACTGAAACTAACCATGGATTTCTAAAAAGTTAATAAGTACAATATTGATAGAAAGAGATGCATATGTTCTACTTATAGCTTTTTACTCTGAAAATGTAATGATATTAACATCAATCACTATGTGGGTTTGAAGGCCTGCTGAAAAGCAGTTTAGGAAGTGCTAAACTTCTTGGCTCCTGGCCTCTTACAGAAGTGTTAACTGTACCAGTTCAGTTGGCATGGGTACTATGAGAGCAGAATGACTGAAAATTTTTCTTTTCCAACTGTTTTCATCAAGATGCTGAGTGCCTGTTCAAACAAATATTTGAGAATACAAATTCTCTTTAAAAATATACAACTCAGCATAATTTAACTGAATTATAAAAAACATATGCTTAAAGCTTCATTTGAGAGAGTGAAAATATATTTTTGAATTTTAGTTGGATATTAAAACATTCTAAAAATTAAACAATACTACATAGAGGGAAATATTCAGAATGAGACTTTTGAAACTGGAGCTTTTCTCTTTTGAATACAGTTTCACATGATTGCTTCCTATCAATGTTACTTCCCATTTTATGTAGCTCTGCTCTGCCACACTGAAAATAAAGAAGTTATATCTGTCTCACCTTGTAAATATTTATGGTCATGCCACAGGAAAAAATGTCTTTAATATTAAGCAAAATTTATAAAATATTTCAAAATGTGACTCAAATTCCATGTGTTCATTTAAAATAACATTTATAAACAGAGAAACCTTATTTCTACTAACACCTTTCCTAAGTTCCACTCCTTAAATTCCTTAAAAATTTTTGGCTTTTAAATCTGTCTCCACCCTTCTTCCAACCAGTTATGCTTCTCTGAAGTTTAATAACAATTCCATGATTCTTAAGAAGGTTAATATCCAACATGACAACCTTGACTTAAAACTGTCCATTTATTCACATCCCTGACAGGTTGGGGTAATTTGTTAAAAAACAAAAAGGGAATCAGGTGTTCCAAAAAATCTCATGCAAATAAACATTCAAAATAATGAACCAACTGTACTTGCTTCTACCTGCTTGTATTTAATATCTGCTGGGCAGCTTTTCACAAAGTTGACAGAAAAGAAGTTAAGAAAGTTATTATACCTAGCCATTCCTTATTGTTACTAGAAAAATACTGGTAATCTCTGGCTTGTTGATGTTTCTCACTTCCTCTGATATCTATTAACATTCTCTGTCAACAACCTGTTCTATGGTCAACAAATATGAAAAAAAGTTCAACTTCTCTAGCAATTAGAGAAATGCAAATTAAAACTACATTGAGATTTTTTTTCTTACTCCAGTCAGAATGGCAATTATCAAGAATATAGGTAACCATAAATGTTGGCAAAGATGTGAGGGAAAGGGGTTCACTCATACATTGCTGGTGGGTCTGCAAATTAGTGCAACAATTCTGGGAAAGTGGTATGGAGATTCCTCAAAAAACTAAGAATAGAACCACAATTTGACCCAGTTATACCACTCCTCTGCATAAGTTTGAAGGCTTTAAAAACAGCATGCTACAGTGATGTAGCCACATCAATGTTTGTAGCAGCTCAATTCACAATAGCTAAGCGGATGGAATCAATCTAGGTGCCCTTCAACAGATGAATGGATAAAGAAAATGGGGTACATATTCTCAGTGGGATATTACTCAGCCATAAAGAAGAATGACTATGACACTTGCCAGTAAATGAAAGGATCTGGAAATTATCATGCTAAATGAAATAAGCCAATCCCCCAAAACTAAATGTCTCTCTGATATGTGGATGCTAATGCAAAACAAGGGGGCAGGGAGAATAGTAGTTTATTGAATTAGACAAAAGGGAATGAAGGGAAGGGAGGGGGGATAGGAATAGGTAAGACAAGGGAATGAATTCCTATGTACATGTGAGTACACTACAGTGAATCTCAACATTGTGTATATCCACAAGACTAGAATCCTAATTAGAATAAGATATACTTCATATATGTATAATATGTCAAAATATATTCTACTGTCACATGTATCTAAAAAGAACAAATAAAAATAAATAAATAAATAATCAACACTGTAAGCTGCAGGGAAGTAAGTGGTGAGAGAGATGGTAAACCTGGTCCAGCATATAAAGGATTTCAGATGTCAACAAAGGACTTAATCCTAAATGGAAGACTCCTCAGTTTTCTTTGCTGATTACTTTCCAAATCCACAAACTTTAAATGTCATAGTATCCCATAGTTCAGACCATAGACATTTTTCTCTATTCTCACTCTCTTGGTGGATTCATGTACTCATATAACTCTAAATCCATGTATATGATAATGATAATTGAACTGTATTTCCAGCCTGAATGCCTGATTCATAAATCAAACTGCTCCGCCAAGCCTCCCTTACCCCATTCTCTTGGACTTCACTGTCTACCCTACCAGCCTCTTCATCCTTCCTGAAATACTATAAGCATATACCTCCTTTAGGACCTTCGTTATTAATCTTAGGTAAAAATCAAAGGCTTTGAAGACCTTTCATCTATATATTTGCACAGCTTACTTCTTTACTTCATTCAGCTCACTCCTCAACTGCCCCTTTCTCAATGAGGCATTTGACTACCTTAATCATCATATCTGAAATTTCAACACCTCTTCTCTACCCTTGCTATTTCCTGTCTACCAGCTCTGCTTTACACTTTCTCCTTAGCATCTATACTATCTAACATAATATATGCCTAATTATTCATTTTTAGTTGCCTCTGCTGTAATATACC